CTGCACCTTGTTGTCTCAGATTCTCCAGCATCTGCAGTTCCTACTATCTCTATTAGGAAAATCTTACACCTTTTAGATCATTTCAGGTGCAGTGGTGCAATCACTGGACTAGTAATCCAGAAACACAAGCTAATGTTCCTGGAACACAAGTTTGAATCCCACTATGGTGAAAATTAGAATTTAGTTTTAAAAACAAAAGCAGCATAATGGTGACCATGTAACCAATGTTAAATGTTGAAAAAGCCCATCTGGTACACTCATGACTTTTTAGGAAGGAAATCTGCCTTCTTTGCCTGGTCTTATCAACATGCAACTTCAGACCTACGTTAGTGCGATTGTCTGTTAACCACTCTCTAGGCAGTTAGGGCTGGGCAATAAATTTTGACTGAGCCAGTGGCACCCATATCTAGTGAATGAACCTTGCCAGTACCAAAGTTACTCTTCAGGTTTTCACAACAGCTGTAGCAGAGTGTTATTTCTATGGAGATGGTTACTGACAAGTCCTATGATTGATGTTAACTGAAGCACTCAGCAGAAACTCAACTGAATTGGAGGAACTACATTTGAAATAATCTTACAAAGATAGGAATTTCTGTAAAAAAAAAAAAAAAATTTTTTTCGTTTAATATTAAAAATATTCATGATGCCCTAAATTATCTTCTCCTTTAAACTTTTATCTCAAAAAGCAACGTGTCTTCTAAAGTGGAGTATCAGTAAAAATGCAGAACGTATTAAATTTGTGTCAATATGTCAATTCTTATATTTGACAAAAATTGGTAATATTCCTTGTATACATGTTTTAAAGTGAGTGAAATACCCGAGGGTGGAAGGTAGCTAATGTTATATCTTTTTTAAAAAGAGGCTGTAAGAAGAAGGCTGGAAACTATAGATCCGTGAGTCTGACATTGGTGGTTGGTAAGTTGTTGGAGGTGATTCTGAAAGATAGGATCTACATGCATTTGGATAAGCAAGGATTGATTAGGGATAGAGAATGTAGGAACTGCAGATGCTGGAGAATCTGAGACAACAAGGTGTAGAGCTGGATGAACACAGCAGGCCAAGCAGCATCAGAGGAGCAGGAAAGCTGAATGCATTTCTGAAGAAGGGTCTAGGCCCGAAACATCAGCTTTCCTGCTCCTCTGATGCTGCTTGGCCTGCTGTGTTCATCCAGCTCTACACCTTGTTGTCATTGATTAGGGATAGTCGGTTTGGTTTTGTGCAAGGAAAATCATGTCTCAGACTTGATTGAGTTTTTTGAGCAAGTAACCAAAAAGATTGAGGGCAGAGCATTAGGCGTTGCTTGCTTGGATTTTAGTAAAGCCTTTGACAAGGTTCCGCATGGTAGACTAATTAGTAAAGTTAGATCCCATGGCATTCAGGGTGAGCTTGCTAACTGGATACAAAAATAGATTTATGGTAGGAGATGGAGTGGTGTTGCAGGGTTGTGACCCGCGGTGTTCCACAGGGATTAGTAATGGGTCCACTTTTGTTTGTCATTTATATAAATGATTTAGATGAGAATTTAGGAGACATGGTTAGTAAGTTTGCAGATGACACCAAAATTGGTCGTTAAGTGGACACTGAAGAAGGTTATCAAAGATAATAAAGGAATCTTGATCAATTCGGTGAATGGGCTAAGAATGGCAGGCTGAGGTTAATGTGGATAAATATGAAATATTGCATTTTGGTAATACAAACAAGAATGGGACATATGCATTTAATGATAGGGCCCTGAGTGGTATTGGTTCAGGTACATAATTCTTTGAAATTTGCATCACAGGAATGGACTTATTGGGCCAAAGGGCCTGTTTCCGCACTGTAGGGATTCTACGATCTATAAAGGTAGACAGGACATCTAGCACACTTGCCTTCATTGTTCAGACAATTTGAGTACAGGGGTTGAGAAGTCATATTGTGATTGTACAGGACATTGGTGAGGTTTCTTCTGGAGTACTGTGTGCAGTTCTGGTTGCCCTGTTGTAAGAAGAACATTATTAAACTAGAGAGGGTTCAGAAAAGATTTACCTATATGCCGGGAATGGAGGGCTTAAGATATAAAAAGAGATGGGAAGGCTGGGACTTTTCCCAATGGAGCATAAAAGATTGACAGGTGACCTTATTTAGGTTTATAAGGTCATGAGGGATATAGATAAGATGAATTAAAAGAGTGTTTTCACTAGGTTTGGGGAGTTCAAAAGGTTAGAAGAACAGGATTTGAAAAATGCCACAAGGGGCAATTTCTTTTTTTAAAACAGTGTGGTGTGTGTTGAACAAACTGCCAGAGAAAGTGGAGGATGCAGGTACATTTACAGCGTTTAAAAGACCTTGGGATAAGTTCATGAATAGAAAAAGTTTGTAGGAAAAGGGACCAAGCTCAGGCAGGTGGGACCAGTTTAGTTTGGAAACATGGTCAGTGTGGACTGGTTGGACCAAACCGTCTGTTTCCATGCTGTATGACTCTAAGACTCTATAACATTAAGTTTGTATCAAAAGTATTGTACAATCATGATTTCTGATGAAGGTTTTCTGGCAACATTTCATATCCTTGTTTCAAACGTGATAAATTAATGGACAGACTGCTATTCGACTAAAATTCTAAACTTCAAGTCATCATACCTGTGGACACTGCTGTAGCTGCTGGCTAGGTGTTTGAGACTGTGGTGGAGCTGTTGTGGTAGTTTCTTCATGCTGACTTTGTGTTAATGGCAAAGTCTGAACTTCTTGCTGCTGAGTGATGAGAGTGGAATGAGTGGTCACCACTTGACTCATGAACATAGTTGTTGGAACCATAACTGCACTGCATCTCATAGGAGCAGTTACCAGTTTTGTCACAAGTTGCTGGCCTTGTTGGAATCTAGTGACAGGAAGAAAAAAAGTATTTCAACTTTCCCTGTATGTTTTCAAAACTTAGACCAACACGATAAAATGACTTTTTCTCAATATATTATTTTATCTCCTCCTTTGCTGCATCCTTGGGTATGATTTGAACTATGGATATAATCTGGTGGAGGTGATAGAGTAGGGTACTGTCACTGGACTAGTAATTCAGGCTCCAGTTGAATGTTCCGGATTAAGGGTTCAAATTCCAACATGGCAGATGATGAAATTCAAATTCTGTTTTAAAAAAGTCTAGAATTAAAAGCTTGTCTAATGGCAACCATATAACCTTTGTCGATCATCGCAAATACCCATTTGGTTTACTAATGTCCTTTAGGGAGAAAATCTGCTATTATTACCTTGTATTGGCCTACATATAACACCTGACCCACGGTAACGTGATTGACACTCAACTGCCTGGTAAACTATTCAGTTCAAATGCAATTAGGGATTGGCAATAAATGCTGGCCTAGCAGCGATGTCCACGTTCTTGATTATTTTTCCAAGTCACTATCATATGCGATAGTGAGTTCATCGAATCCCTACAGTGTGGGAACAGGCCCTTCAGCCCAACAAGTCCACACCAACCCTCAGAGCATCTCACCCAGACCCATCCCCCTAATCTACACATCCCTGAACACTACGGGCAATTTAGCATGGCCAATCCACCTAACTTGCACATCTTTGGACTGTGGGAGGAAACCAGACCACCCATAGGAAACCCACGCAAACACGGGGAGAATGTGCAAACTCCACACAGACAGTTGCCCAAGGGTGGAATTGAACCGCGGTCCCTGGCACTGTGAGGCAGCAGTGCTAACCAGTGAACCACCGTGCCACCCCACGAATGCCAGTTGTCTGTGTAACTGTAGTGGGCTTCACAGCTAAACTCATTCACACAAAGCATTATGAAGTGTTTCGATAGTGATCAAGGCTGGGAACGTAGATGTTTTTTTTTATTTTCCAATCAGTAACTCAAAATGAAGTGCATTAACAATTCTTTCATTCATTCTAATTGTGTTAATTGCATGTGAATGAGAGAATTAATCCTGGATCTTCCCAGATAGACTTGCTGGGCTATCAGATCAAAGCTAATTTATACTTTTACAAACATTTTATTCTTTAAAGTGGTTATCAGACTTTAAAATTATTTTCTCATATCTTAACAGACATAAAACATTATCCTGTATACGTTATTTATAATGAAAATTTGAGAGAAATTCCATTTATTCATGTATTTTGAGTGAAAGTAACTCATCTTTATTACCAAAAATCATGAGCAGAAAGATACTGTTTAAAAAAGTGTGCCCATGTAACAACAGGAATATTGAGGACAAATATAAATACGATGGCATTTAAAATGGCATTTTTTCTCATCTAATAACTCCAAAATTATGTTTCATGGATAATAAATTGTACTAGCCTATTCTGTTTTAAACAATAAATGCTTTTAAAAGATTCTTTGTAAAATTTCTAATTCATTTTTCATCTAGTCAGCTAGTTTCCAAACAGTCCGTACTTCTGGAAGGGCAGGGGTCTGAATCAGATCTTATTCACACATACACTTGATATACAACCAGATACTCACCGGAGAAACCTGTCATGAGGAAGAGTGGTAACTGTGCAGCTTTGGTTAGAATTTTGGAATGGAGGAGGAGTAAGCTGTCCAACATTGGCTGTTGTGGGCTGGGAATTTATCATAGTGTTACAGTGGGAAGTTGTGAGAGCATCCTGTCTGGAAATTAAGCTCTGTTGCCTGTGGTTACTTTGCAAAGTCTGCTGAACCTGTAAAAGGAAAAGATTCTTAGTTTTGTTTTGAAACATTTGAAATAAAAAAGGTTAAGTAAGTAATACTGGGGACAAGGGATCAAATTTTTAAAAATGTAATAAATCAGAGTAGAGACAAGGCAAGTAAGAAAGTAAAATGGGAAATAATAAACTGAACATGACAGGAAGACAGAATGCATATCTAAGATTAAATCAACGGATTAAAAAAAAGGACAAAACTATAACCTCTATTGTAATGCACGAAGCATTCAAAACAAAACAAATGATACTGTGAATAGGAATAAACAGGTGATCTAACAGCTATTACAGAGACATAGCTGTAGGATGATACAGATTGGAACCTGAACATTGAAGGGTACATGACATTTAGGAAGGTCAGGAATATAGGATAAGATGGAGCAGTTGCTTTGTTAATAAAAGGTGGTATTAGTCCAATAGAGAGCAATGACCTAAGTTCAAGAGATCACAATATACAAGTGATTTGGATAGAGATGAGAAATGATAAAGCTAAGAAGTCACAAGTGAGAATGGTGTCCAGGATATCTAACAGTCAACACATGGTAGGACAGTTTAAAGGAAAAAGGTAGTGGGAGCTTGTTAGGAAGGTATGGTGATAGTCATAGGGCATTTTAACCTACATATCGAATAGAAAAAAAATCATAGGTAAAGGTAGCCTAGATGAGGCATTCATGCAAAGTTTTCAGGAGTCAACCAGAGAACAGGCTATACTACTGTGTGACAAAACCGGATTAAATAATAACCTCAGAATGATAGTATTCCGAGGTAGCAAGGATCATAATATGATTGGATTTTACATTTAATTTAAGGAGGAGACACGGTGGCACAGTGGTTAGCACTGCTGCCTCAGAGGGCCAGAGACCTGGGCTCGATTCCACCCTCCGGCGACTGTCTGTGTAGAGTTTGCACGTTCTCCCCGTGTCTGCGTGGGTTTCCTGTGGGTGCTCCAGTTTCCTCCCACAGTCACAAAGATGTGCAAGTTAGGTGGATTGGCCATGTTAAATTGCCCGTGGCGTTCAGGGATATGTAGATGGGTCTGGGTGGGATCCTCTGAGGTCCAGTGTGGACTTATTGGGCCGAAGGGCCTGTTCCCAAACTGATTCTAAGGAGAAAAAGTGGGTCCAAGATTTGCATTTTAGACTTAAGTAAGGACAATTATGAGGGCACAAAAGCAGAGCTTGTTAAAATTAACTGGCAAATTAGGATAAGCGATAGGTCATTAGCAATGCAGTGGCAGAGATTTCAGGGATATTTCAGTATACATTCCAAGGAGTAAGGAAATTTCCAAGGATAGAAACTACTATCCATAGTTAACCAAGAACAATTGAAGATAGTGTCAAATTTAAAGATAAAGCAGATGATTAGGCAAAAATGGGTGGCAGATCAAAAGATTAAGCAGAATATAAAACTCAGCAACAATGACTAAAAGATTGATAAAGAGAGAAGGCTGGAGTACAAGAAATATTAATCCTACAGAAAATGAGTCAAGGAATTAATAATGGAAAATAGAGAGACAGCAGATGAATTGAACAGGTATTTTGCACCAGAATCTTAGTAATCAGGAAACGGAAGCGAAGGTGAACCTCAACAAAAATTACATACAAACAAATTACAAACAGGGAAGTGGTACTGAACAAATTGTTGGAGGTGCAAGCTGATGGGTTCCCAGGTACTGTTACACTTCGAAGCAGGCTAGTGAGATAGTCGTTCTAGATTCAGGCAAAATTCCATTAGACTGTAAAATAACAATGTACCCTTCTCTTTAAAAAGGGAGACAGGAAGCAGGAAACTACAGGCCAGTTAACTTAAAATCTGTTTTAGGAAAGATGTTAGAAACTATTAATAAAGATGTTATAGAAGGGTACATGCAAAATTCAAAGAAAGGAGACAGAGTCTGTATGGTTTTGTGAAATTTTAATCAATTTAACAAATTTGAAGGAGGAAAGTGCTATGAGAAAGAGGACAAACAGTTATTCTAGAAAATAAAAGTTTATGGTGTAGGGGGTAACATATTAGCTATAAGAACATAAGAAAACTGGCACATAAGAAAATTGTTTCAGAGATAGTGGGAACTGCAGATGCTGGAGAATCTGAGATAACAAAGTGTAGAAATTTTTCTGAAGAAGGGTCTAGGCCCGAAATGTCAGCCTTCCTGCTCCTCTGATGCTGCTTGGCCTGTGTTCATCCAGCTCTACACCTAGTTACCTCTACATAAGAAAATTGGCTGGCTAGCAGGAAACAGAGAGGCATAAATGGGTCATTTCCTGGTTAGCAGGATGTGATGAGGGTTCTATCACAGGCTTCAGTGCATGGTTTTGATATTTTACAATTTATATAAATGATTTGGATCAAGGAGCAAAGATATTTTTACTAAATTTGCTGATGAAACAAAGGATGATTGGAAAATAAGTTGTGAAGAGGACATAAGAAGTCACAACGGACATTGACAGGTTAAGTGAGTAGGGGAAAATATGATATTGTCCATTTTGCGACAAAGAATAAAACATATCTAAATAGTGAGAGATTGCAAAGCTCTGAAATGCAGGGGTATCTGGGTGTCCGACTGCATGAATTGTATGGCTAGTATGCATTTACAGCAAATAATTAGAACAGCTAACAGAATTTTATCCAAGGGGAATGGAATATATAAGTTGGGAGGTTATACTTCAATTGTTGACACCAAGTCGGGCAGAAGGAATACAAAAATGGTCTTCTTATTTAGGAAGGATGCAAATTTATTTTTTATTCTTAATTCCAGCTATTTGTAACTGAATTCAAATTCCATCATCTTCTGTGGCAGGATTCGAACCCAGATCCCCCGAATATTAGCTGGAGTTTCCGGATTAATAATCTAGCAATAATACCATTAAGCCATTGGAAGTAGTTCATAAAGTTTCCTAGAGTAATTATGGAAATGATTATCTTCTGAGGAAAGATGTGACAGGCTAGGTTTAAATATGCTTGAGTTTAAAAGGGAGAGGACTGACTTGGTCGTAATGCATAAAATGCTAAAGGGTCTTGACAAGGTGCATATGGAAAGAATGTTTTCTCCTGGACCTAGAAATCACTGTTTAAAAATAAGGGTTTGCCTGGTTAAGACAGAAACAAAAGAGAAATCTTTTCTCACAGAGGGTCACGAGTCTCCCTCAAAAGTCATTAGAAGCAAAGTCTTTGAATATTTTTTAAGGCACATGTCGACAGATTCTTGATAAGCAAGGTGGATAAAAGGATATTGGGGGGAGGCAGGAATGTGAAGTGACTCGAGGCCAAGTAGCCTAGTTCTGGTCCTAATTCATATGTTCATAGCATGTGGGCAGGTCATGCCTGACAAATCTGCTAGAATTCTTTGAGGAAGTAACGAACAGAGTAGACCATGGAGAGCCAATGGATGTTATCTACCTGGACTTCAAGAAGGCCTTTGACAAGGTGCCGCACAGGAGGCTGCTGAGTAAGATAAGGGCCCACGGTGTTAGAGGCAAGATGCTAGCATGGATAGAAGATTGGCTGTCTGGCAGAAAGCAGGGAGTGGGGATAACAGGGTCTTTCTCAGGATGGCAGGCGGTGTGTGTTCCGTAAGGGTCAGTGTTGGGACCACAACTTCTAACTTTATACATTAATGATATAGATGAAGGAACTGTGGGCATTCTGGTTAAGTTTGCAGATGATACAAAGATAGGTGGAGGGACTCGTAGTATTGAGGAGGTGGGGAGGCTGGAGAAGGATTTGGACAGGTTAGGAGAGTGGGCAAAGAAGTGGCAGATGGAATACAACATGGGAAAGTGTGAGGTCATGCATTTTGGTAAGAAGAATAAATGGGGAGAAAATTCAGAAGTCTGAAGTGCAAAGAGACTTGGGAATTCTAGTCCAGGATTCTCGCAAGGTAAACTTGCGGGTTGAGTCAGTAGTCACAAAGGCAAATGCAATGTTGGCATTTATTTTGAGAGGACTTGAATATAAAAGCGGGGATGTACTACTGAGGCTTTATAAGGCCCTGGTCAGGCCACATTTGAAGTAGTGTGTGCAGTTTTGGGCCCCATATCTCAGGAAGGATGTGATGGCCCTGGAGTGGATTCAGAGGAGGTTCACGAGAATGGTCCCAGGAATGAAAAGCTTAACATATGAGGAATGTTTGAGGACTCTGGAACTATACTCTTTGGAGTCTAGAAGGATGAGGGGGGATCTAATTGAAACTTACAGAATACTGAATGGCCTGGACAAAGTGGATGTTGGGAAGATGTTTTCATTTGTAGGAGAGACTAGGACCCAAGGGCACAGCCTTAGAGTAAAGGGAAGACCAATTAGAATGGAGATAAGGAGAAACTTCTTCAGCCAGACAGTGGTGAATCTATGGAATTCACTGCCACAGAAGGCTGTGGAGGCCAGGTCATTGAGTACATTTAAGGCTGAGATAGATAGGTTCTTGATTATCAAGGGGATCAAGGGTTACGGGGAGAAAGCGGGAGAATGGGGTTGAGGAACTTATCGGCCATGACTGAATGGCAGAGCAGACTCAAAGGGCCGAATGGCCTAATTTCTGCTCTTATGTCTTATGGTCTAAGCTAAAAATTGTACTGAGATTTATTTGGTCATCCCATTGTTATTTACAAAGCAAAATCAATACGATCATAATGCTTTGTCTATAGTTTCTTTATTAAAAACAATACCGTGGTGCCTCATATCATAGTTGACTTGGAGATAGTTGAAGAATTACTTAAATTCACAAATAAAAATAATCAATTTTGATAAGGCATTTGAAATGGGACGAGTGGCAAATAACAAGATAAAAATAGGGAATGAGACTGTTCCAAAGGAGAACTGACAGTTCTGATACTGAGTGACAAGCATTGAGAAGGCGAAGGGGAAGTTATTCTGTAAAGTTAGAATCAGAACAGCATAAATGCATTTGCCAACTCTGGTTGATTGTTTCTGACTATTTCATCATACAACCTCTCACTTAACTGCCTCACACCCACTTACCA